GAATCTGAAGCAGGATTCAGGCTTTGAGCTGTCAGCACAGAGCCTCACAAGGGGCTCTAATTCATGCACCACCAGATCATGACCTGAGCCAAAGTCAGACACTTAACCAACAGGGCCACCCAGCATTTTCTGGGGTTAATTTTCTAGAGTTAATGCTGGATGCCCGTAGCATTTTCTATAGTTAATAATGTTTTAGATTATTTTTTCTTATTTTCTGCATACATATGACTAATTCATTTCCTATGTTTTTAGTAAAACCCTAAAACCCCTCAATAATTTTAAAACATATCAGGTGATTGATCAGTTTATTTCTTTTTTCTTTGAAATGATACTGCTGGAGCCTTGTTTTCTCATTCTAATCTTGTCTGTTTCATCTATTTTCACTGTTCTGGGAATTCCCACACCTATCTCTTGTTTTAGATCTCTTGTTTCCTAGATACTTATTTTCCCATGCACCTTGCTTCCCAGAATTTTTGAAGTGGGTAGATACCTTACTTTAATAATGGACTAATTTGGTAATCTGGTAGGTTTGACTATTCTTATTTACCTGTATTTTTTTTAAGGGGGGATAGATACATGTACCTCTTTTATTTTTAATGTTTATTTTTGAGAGACTGAGAGAGACAGAGCACAAATGGGAGAGGGACACAGAGAGGGAGACAGAATCCAAAGCAGGCTCCAGGCTCTGAGCTGTGAGCTCAGAGCCAGACGCAGGGCTCAAATCCACGAACTGCGAGATCATGACCTGAGCTGAAGTCGAATGCTTAGCCAATGGACTCACCCAGGAGCCACCTTACCTGTATTTTTTTAAATGTTTATTCTTGAGAGAGAGAGAGAGGGAGAGAGAGAGGGAGAGAGAGAGAGAGATTGATTGAGCAGAAGCCCTCTCGAGTGGGGGAGGGGCAGGTAGAGAGGGGGGCACGGAATCTGAAGCAGGCTCCAGGCTCTGAGCTGTCAGCACAGAGCTGGATGCAGGGCTCAAACCCACAAACCATGAGTTCATGACCCGAGCCAAAGTCAGAGGCTTAGCCAGCTGGGCCACCAGGTGCCCTGACTGTTACTTGTTTAGAGTTTCAACCAATTTTCCTTTCACTCCACACCTCTTTCAAACTATTGTGTTTAACTGATACTTCCTTGTCTTGTACTTTTGAGGAATAATATGAAATATGTGATTCTTGTTGGTTTTTTTCTCTATAGGTACTTAAGTTTGGGCCTTTTTCCTTAAACTTTAAAAAAAAATATTTGTTTCTTTTTGAAGGAGAGAGAGACAGAGTGCAAGTGGGGCGAGGGTCAGAGAAAGAGGGAGACAGAATCCAAAGCAGGCTTCGGGCTCTGAGCTGTCAGAAGGTTTAGCCATTCTGAAGGTTTTTTTTTTTTTTTTTTTTTTTTTTTTTAATCTTGATGAGGTCCCAGTAGTTCATTTTTGCTTTTAATCCCCTTGCCTCTGGAGACATGTTAAGTAAGAAATTGCTGTGGCCTAGTTCAAAGAGGTTGTTGCCTGTTTTCTCCTGTAGGATTTTGATGCTTTTTTGTCTCACATTTAGGTAAGTCACCCATTTTGAACTTCTTTTTGTGTGTGGTTTAAGAAAGTGGTCCCGTGTCATTCTTCATATCGCTGTCCAGTTGTCCCAGTACCACTTGCTTTGTCAAAGATTAGTTGTCCATATATTTGTGGGTCCGTTTCTGGGTTCTCTATTCTGTTCCATTGATCTGTATGTTTTATGCCAGTGCAT